CTCTCCAAAATAAACAAACAAATAGATAAATAAAAACTCTTCATAATTATAAACATCCTAAATGTTTGGATAGATAAAATGCTATATCTGGATGTTTAAATGGTTGACAAGCTGGGCTGTAGTATGAAGAATTGAATTTGTCCAGGGAAACGTGGTCAGTGGGATTTCCTGAGTATGAGCACTTACACTGTTCTAAGCAAACACTACTGACAGCTGATAAATATGTAGAGCGAAGAGGGTATATTAGGAATGAGGAAGAGAAATTCCCATCGCCTCTATCCCAGGCCTTTTAGAGACAAACGAGTAGGTGCCATGAAATGGAGAATTAGAACGGGGTATGTAACCTGGATGTAAGCAGGACTGCACACTCAGAGGAATTGATCTATATTTAAATTCTATTCCTACAGTTATTTAATATCTAGCTCCTGTATATTTAACAACTTTTCTATTTGCAGCCAAGGTAGTCTTATATAATCTGTGATGCCTGGAGGAGTATTATACATGTATCTTATTGTTTCTACAAAATTCGGTATCTTTAAAAGTTTCTGTTCAATAATTCCATCTATGTATTTTTTATTAAATCAAAGCCATAAATGAAGAATCTTGGCATGCCATCAAATTTCAAATGTACATTACAAAAGCACATTATTTACATATTGTTATGTTTTATGGGCATAACTATTTGAGAACAAATAGCTATGTATACATTTTATTTTACCAAGTATCTAAGCACTTGATTTGCATTCAAGCAAAGGTTAACCACAGCCTCAAGATTTGAACTAAAAATCCTGTAAGGGACTATTCTCTTCATGTGCCTAGAGGTACCATCAGCTTTGTTATCTACCTCACCCACCACCTATGTATACTCTGTGCTATGGCAGTGCAACTCTTGGGCCTTTTTATGCTATTTCCATACCAGGAAGTGAAGCATCAAACAATAGCTTGTTATTATTTCCTTGGCTGCATGTGGACTACTAACCCAGGAGGCTGTAACTATAGATATTCCATGTTCTGTTTAATTGGAATTACCATGAAGAAAAGAATCAGGGGAAAAAATATCAGTGACTACAAAGACTAGTAGAACTACTTCTTTTCTCAGATAATCTCGTTGCTACAGAATGAACAAACCTTCCCCTATACAAATGCCTCCTGATAAAATATTCTTGTTTGTGAAAACTTTCAATAAGTCTTCATGTTAGATTCAGACTTACCCTTTGCTTTTCCCACTGATTTGGGATTTTCAGTCTCTTTGCTGTGTAGGAATACCCTGTCTCAAGGAGAACTTCTTATCAGACCTGTTCAGTGTGCAGAAAGGCATGCTTCCTTCTCATGAACGTAGACACATCTCCCTCCTCTGTTTCACACCCTGAAAGCCCTCAGTGATTATACATTTCTGTTTTGTTTCTCAGTGCCCTTTGTGCCTGTACTTGGGCTAGAGGACAACCACTGACAGGCCCTCTACTCCCGCAGCCAACGAGGGTTGAGGGTTTGCTGCTCTTTGGTTCCTCTGTAGTGGGTTACTGTTGATCATGCTTCCTATTATATACAACTCTCCATGTTGCCTGTTGTGCCATCTAGAACCCCTGTGTAACCCATGGTGATTTGTGTTCATCCAGTTCGCCTTCCATGCCATCTCAATTGCTAACCCTACAGAAGGGCCAACGTTGCATCTTGTTTCACATATTTAAACCCACGTGTCAGACCTCTCCTTTGCCCAGCAACTGTCTGAAAGAGCTTCAGACATCATACCAGCCTGCAGCTGCAAAAGCTGGGCAGCCAGCCTGCTTTCCACCATGCTGGAGGATGCTTGAATCTCTGTACTGCATCCCCGGGAGAGCTTTCCCCTGAGACAGATTTCTCAGCAGTAAAGCAATTCAACCGATTAAAGGGCTGCCACATGCAGCTTTATTTGGTTTGGAGAGGGGAATCCCCCAGCAGTCTCCCCCAGTTTGCAGGATGAGTGTGATAGCTGGCCTTCAGAAGGGCAATGATGATGAAGGAGCCTCCACTCTGCCATTCCAGAAGACATCTATGACCACAGATGGAAAATGAGAAACAAATGAAACAAATTGCAAGTAAGCTCTACAGTTAGAAGATGAGGAGTGGAGTTGTTATTATACACACAGAGGTCACAGTTCTGCCCAGTTGCCATTTCCCAGCAATTGCAAGAAAGAAGTGGAGTACCAAAGAGATTGGGATTTTCACTGCAGAATGAAGGGGTTTTCCCTTTTCCACAGCTGGGACAGCTGGAACTTGTTATGTACAACCTACAGCTGGAAAAGTCATCTATGTGTTCGATGGAAAATGTTGTGATATCCATTATGGTCTTGGTTATAAGAGCACGTAGAGTGGAGAAGACATGTACGTAGAATCCGTGATGGTAAAAAACTGACTATGGCAAGGGAGGGTACATGCAGAAAGGCTACATGTGTAGTTTTGAGCTAATGGGAACAGGTGTGCCTGAGGAATGAGTGAGTATGTGAACAATGTTTGTGGGTGGAAAAAAATGTGATTAAAGAAAAATAGGCATGGAATGGAGGTGTGTGAAATCATGAGAATCAAGATGCATATTCTGAATATATGGAGACGAGTGAGACGGGACTTATGTGAGTTTATATAAACAGATACATCTTTATATGAAATACGACATACTGGCATGTGTGAAAGCATTTCATCTACTGTGGCAGACTTCTATCTCTTCTAAGCCTTCTATGGTGTACTTGCATGTTGCTTATTATGTAGGTCACCTTTATTTAGCAGAGGGCTTCATTTCTGCAACCCAAAATGGAGAGATGCTATGCTACATCACTTTGTCCATTCTTCTCTTTCTCTTTTTCCTGATGAGGTATGACAGACATTTAAGAGGAAGGAAAAGGATACGGAGGGAGCAGTGATGCAGGTTCAGTAGGTGTTCATTGCAGGTGAGGATGGCAGAGAATGCACTGCAAATTAGTGCTCTGGCTTTAAAACTGTGGCAACTTTTTCAGGTTCTTCTCCTCATATTGCTCAAAAATAACCATTGGCTCCTGAATGCTTTGTTCATTTCCTCCCGGGGAACAGGCAAAAGGATGAGGTAACATCCGATGAAGGGCACCAATCTGGCCTTAAAAATAATTGAGAGAGTTCCTGCCTGGCATCTTGGCACGAGCGTGCTGCAGACAGAGGGAGTTTCTATTCTTGTGTGGCAACCGCTAGCCCTATCATTTCCTACTGACTGCCATAACCAGCTCTGGGCGCAGCTGGCTGGATTGTTGGAATCACGTTTTTCAACACCTTTATTCAAAAGCTTCCATTCCTAAGCTAAGCTAGAGGTTTTTGCTAAATATGGAGAGCCTAGAAATTAAATCTGAATGCTGGGACAATTTTAGATCTGAGTTTTTCAGGACAAGTTCTCTTGTTTAGCCTGAAAATCTTTTCCAGGCATCATCTACAGACATATATATTTTTTCCACAGTTGTTGAAGATTTTGGGAGATATAACCTACCAGTTGGAGAAGCACCTACTGTGCACCTGAAAGTCTTGGCCCTGTCCTTCACACAGCAGCAGATGCATCCTAAACGGCAATTATAATGCATCCACGAGATCCAAGCCATGCTGGACCTCCAGCTCATGCTTTACACGGAACATGTGCGTCATAATTCTGCCGAGAAACCACAACCCAGCCAAGTCCTGTTCTGGCTCTAGCCTGAAGCACTTTGCCAAAGTTAAGACGAGAATTTAGTCAAAGGGCTATGAGCTGAATGAAATGTTCCACATTAGGTCCCGTCACTTCCCCTCTGCCCACCACCGTGTTGAGCTCCTTGTCCCCAAAATACTGACACTCCATGGTCAGTCAGTCCCGTACTGTTTCTGCAGCCTCAGTCCATAGGTTCCTCGCTGAAGCCGGACCCTATCTTGGGACTGCGGGGAGTGATGAGGAAGAGGAAGCTACGTTGCACATATCCTCAGCAGGGCTGATTAGTCTTGGTGGATTACTATAACGACCTGGCTCCGCTGCTTCCAGGTACTATGAACTGGTGCAGCGTCTTGGCACGGTGCTGTTGTGCAGACATTGTGCTAAGGTAATCGCTGCAAGGCCGTTAAAGGCAACGAAGGGAGAGCTGAGCTGTGGTGCAGAGGGCTTTTTTTTTTTTATATTCTTTGAACAAGAAAATCCAGTGTCCCAAGGCATTGCTAATACAGACCTGTGCCATTTGAGAACGCCTACCTCAGCTAAATAAAGGCTCGGAAAGCCTGGGAGACATAATTAAAATCACAGAAACTGTAACCCCTGACTTAATACTTGGTGCCGCGGCTTAGCTTTGACCCACGCCTCACAAACACTTGGCTCCCGGGGATGCCGCCCGCCGACCCCCCTCGCCCCTCGCCCCCGGGGGGCAGCGGCCGGGCCGGGCTGGGGCCCGGCTTCCGCGGCGCCTCCCCCGCGGGCGGCGGAGGAAGGGGCGGCCGGGCCGGGCCGAGCCGAGCCGGGCCGAGCCGGGGGAAGGGGCAGGAGGGAGGCCGGGGGGGAAGCGCCGCTCCCCGCGGGGCCCGGCCCGGCCCTCGGCGGCGTGGGAACGGGCGGGCGGGGTGGAGGCGGCGGCGGGGGCCGGGCCCTGGCGAGGGGGGGCGGGCGGGAAGATGGCCGGGGCCGGGGCCGGGGCCGGGGCTGGGGCTGGGGCCGGGGCCGGGGCAGGGCCCGGGCGGGGTTTGTAGCGGCGGCGGGGCTGGTCCCGGCGCCGAGCGGGGCTGTCGCGGGGGAGGATGAGCCCGGCGCGGCGCAGCCGGAGCCGCCCGAGTCCCGCTGCCCGCGGGGCCGCCTGCTAGTGCTGGAGGAGGAGGAGGAGGAGGAGGAGGAGGAGGAGGAGGAAGAGGAGGGGGGGGAGGAAGCGGCGGGCGGCCGCGGGACGGGAGCTGCCCCGGCGGCGGGCGGGGAGCGGGTTGGTGCCGGAGCTGGGCGGCGGCGGCCCGGCGCTGGGGCGGCCATGCCGTGGCTGAGCGGCGGCCGGCGGCGGCGGCAGCAGCAAGGGGCGGCGGGGCAGGGCGGCGGCGGCGGCCCCGGCTCCGGCCCCGGCCCCGGCCCCGGCCCCGGCCCCGGCTCGGCGGCGGCGGCGGCGGCTGCGGGCGGGCAGCGGGGCCGGGAGAGCTCGGAGCTGCCGCTGCCCGCCGGCTGGGAGGAGGCGCGGGACTTCGACGGGCGCGTCTTCTACATCGACCACAACACCCGGCAGACCTCGTGGATCGACCCCCGCGACAGGTACGGGGCAGGAGCAGGCGGGGAGCCCCCGGCCGGGCTGGGCTCGTCCCGTCCCGTCCCGTCCCGTCCCGTCCCGCAGGATCCCCCCCTTCCCACCGCGGTCCCGCTGCCGGCTCCGTGTCCCGGCGGCGACATTTTCCTGGCCGCGGCCGCGGGCGGGGTGTGGGCGGCGGGGCCGGGCCGGGCCGAGCGGGGCCCCAGCGCCGCGGCTCGGAGCCGGCCCCGGCTCACGGGCACGGTCCCGGCCCCGGGTCTCGGCAGCCCGGGGTGAATCGCAGCAGGGTTTGCACCCTGTGGGGTGCGCGCCCTCTGACAGAGCTGCCCATAAAGGCTTAAAACTTGCCCGGGCTTTAAAGCTTCACTTTAAAACAGGGGAATATCTGCGGAGGGTGCCGCCTGCTGCACGCACCCGCGCTTTGAACGCGCTCGCCCAAAAATTTCCACGCGGAGCTGCGGAACACAAGTGTCAGTATTTGGAGGTGTCTGCGAAATGAGAAACATATGTCTCCGTGTGTGCTTTCCTATATTAAACAATGTTTTTATAGTAAGCGAAAGTTGGACAAGGACAGTTTGAACTTCGGCCAGAGCTACCTTGCCAGAGCTATGCCAGGAATGTTAAGCAGGCCACAGAAACATTTAAGCGCAGTCTGGGTTAAAGACTGGAGTAATTTGAGCAATTCCTGCCGTCTTGCACAATGATGCATAGCTGTTTAAATAGCCTAAATATTTACCTACGAGATCAAGATCTTTTGTCTCGTTGTTTAGACATACTTACGCATGCACATATTTTTTGCTGATGTATTAAATGCTTGTTGTTATGCTTTAGCGCATTTTTTTTTTCTGCAGCGATCTGTGTGTTTTTTAACGTTCGCTTACTTGCAGTACTCTGCTTTAAAGGTAACTGGTGACACAATAACGTGTCTGTGGCTTCTCTGCGTGCCGTCCTTTCCCTTAAATTTCAGTTTCGTCTCCTGGAGAACTTTATGTAGAGACAGCAAAGAAAAAGACTTAGCAATTCCCCGCAGTGTTTAAACTCAGTGGCGATGTAGCGCCGTGCGATTCGAATAGCACTGCTCAAATTAGGACCTCATGTTTTGAAGAAATAATTGAAATGCCACGCGACGTTTGAAAATTTCTTTAAATACTTCACACCAGTGTTTAAACCGAGATGTATTTATCAGGTGAGGAGAGCTGGCTGTAGAGCAGAGATTGAGACAGTTACACTGGGGCAGGTAGAAAAGACACAACGTTTCCACGACGAAATGTCAACAGTTTCTACAGGATTCAAGCAGCAGAAGCTAGTTTTATGGCTGCAGAGTTGATCTCTGGCTGAGAACAGGCTGCTGTTAGTGCAGTGAGATGGCTGTGTGTTGCATAGCGGAAGGTGGCCGGTCTTTTGAGTTTTCACTGCAGCTATTCGGATTCCTGGGGGCAGCAACAAAGTAGGAGGGGGTCAGGTTAGTTGTGTTCTGCCAGCGTTTGGGAAGGAAAGGTCGGAGCAGCAGGGAGATGGTACTGAAGGTGTTTTTTTCTGCAAAAAGATCTTGAAAAAGTAAGGTAGAATAATGTGTTTGGTATCATATTTGCCTCGGCATTGTCAATTTGGCGTAGAGTGACGAATCAGCCCCCTGTTTCCGTGCCTGGTGTGTTGGTTTCATTTCTATCCAGGAGGAGTTGGATGAAATTATGGGACCTCGGGCCGTGTTGCACATGACCCAAACTCTGAGAATCAGCACCTCCAAGCTTTCCTATGGGCAGTGATCCTATAAGCATCCCCACGGGCTCCTCTTTCTCTGTAGCTGGGACTTAATAGTTTATTTTTTTTTTTTCAGCATTCCCTTTGAGATTTCTCTGCCTTTTGTAGTTAGGTTAGTGAATTTAATATGAAGCGGTTATTTGATTTAAGAAAAAAATAATCCTGTTGAAGCCAAGAAGAGAAGGAAATACTATTTTGAGAAGTTAAGGAAGGAGAAATGTGCTGTATGAAGGATTTGGGGGTTTGGGAAAGAAGGTAACAGGAGCAAGAGGTAAATCAAGGTAACAGAGTTAAAGGGGATAAAGGACCTAGAAGTGGATGCCATATGATTTTTTTTCTTTTTAGGGTAGGAAAAATTGAATAAAGAAAAGGGAGAACAGTAGGAGAGTGATAAAATGAGCAGATATGAGAAGCTGCTTTGGTATCAAATCAGTGGTTAGGTTGACGGAGATTATTGTGTTGATCTGTGTAGATTGCTAGACAGTTGTCTAGCAGACCCTGTAGGTCTTGAGGTGGAACCATTCAGTGCACGTTTTCTTCTTGCTGTAGTAGTTGTCTTTTATCTTAATAGATTAAGGCAGCAAATGGCCTTTTTATCTCGTGTTTGCACAGTACTTAGTATATGGAGATGCTGGTCAATAACTGGGGATCGTGAATGCTCTTATAAAAGACTGACTGTGTTTGTGGTTGATATTGATGATCTTTGTGGCACCAGGTCTTACTACAGTTGCTGTTTGTTACAAGGCTGTGTTTTCAAGTGATTAGATGCTTAGCCAAAACTGTTGGCAAAAGCTTTCCAAGCTGGTGAGTTTTTGTTAGATTTTTTTGCTTGTGGAAACTTCAGCTAAGACACAGTGCTGTTTTTGCAGAACCTCACCAGGGGAGATGATTTGATTTGTTTCCTTCAGCTTCTTAATGTGAGTTGTCATCTTTGTTTGTTTGAAGATTTAAATCATCTTGGTTTGGAATGAGGATTTTAAACTCGCAAGGTGTAGCAGCATTTTTGCATGGAGAAATAATCCATCTGGGCCAGTTTGGGAAGCTTTGAAGAATTCGTATGGGTTGGGTAAGGACTTGTATTTCTAGCAGCTGTGTTTGCAGGAGCTTCCTGCAACCTGGACTGCTGGTATCTTTATTAAGATCAGGTAGCTCTTCTGTCCTGCGTCCTCAGCAGCATCTTAATTCTTGAAGCTGGTGAACTTGAACCCAGAGAGAAAGAGTCCTGGCCTTGTAGAAGAGGTGGGTTGGAACAAGAGGGATTGGCCTTGGGATTTGACAGGAGGGGGGATGTTTTGGAGAGCTGTGAGGAGCAAAGCAAATCAGGAGCTGGGGGTAGGGAGAAGGCACCTGAAGCCTGGGAAGCAAAAAGTAGGGGAACTGGACTGAAAACCTGTAGGACAGGGAAAAACAGGTGAGAAGAAACCGGTCTGGTGAGGGTTCAGGGTGTGAGGGTGTCAGCTCTCTGCTGGCTGTGCAGGGAACCCCGAGGGAAAAGAAGGAGCACCCGCGTGGGATGGGGAGTCTTCAGAGGCAGAAAACGTGCGTGCTGGGAAGCCTGTGGAGAAGGAGGAGAGACTTGGAAGGTGAAGGACAAGAACGAGGTGTGAAACGTCAGGTGGTGTAAGATGTGCTGGAGGAGGAGACTGATGAAAAATCTGAATTATGGAAGGTCGAAATAAGCAGGGAAGGGTAGCGTGCTTGAAAGGAGTTGGCTTGAGGAAGTCACTAGGCAGGTATGCGTTATTAGGAATGCATTGCAGAACAGCTCGAGGAAGTGGGTAATGGGCAGAAAAGTCCAGAAGTTTGGGCTGTTTCTCCCAAACTATTTCAGGGTTCCTCCTCATTCTCATCATTTATTTGGTGTTTAGCAAGTGTACTACCCCGCTCGTCTCTTCTTCCTGTGTAGCAGGACAAAGGCAGTTCCTGCTAGCTTGCTCTGACGATGTGGTCTGTTACAGCAAAGCAAAGCGTGATGCTGCGTCATGCGATTTCTCTTTCCCCCAGTTCGGTTTTTATAAAGGAATAGGAGATGGCGAATGGGAAACTTACACCATATTCTTGTTAAATATTCAGAGCTAGAAAACTACAGGTTTAAGTTGCTGAGCTATTGCTACTTTTGCATCGAGAGCATTTTTAGTGACAAACTTTTCCATACCTTGCCTCCCCTGAGACCTGGAGAGGAGCAGCTCTGAGGACAGGTAAGGGCTGGGAGGTGAAACAGATTTAGATTAGAAGGGCTACGCAAACTTTTGCTGAAACTGGAAGACGTGCCTCTAGTGAGGCAAAGGATCTTCTGGAGCACCCATGTGTGGTACCCTTGGAAAGGCAGTGGCCTCTTTGTCAAGGCCAGAGAGTATCAGCCAGCGTAGTGCATTGTATCTGCCCAGCTGACAGCATTCAGCAGCCCATTGACAATCAGGAGAATCGTTTAAATCACAAATAGCATTTTTCTAGGCTGGGCTTAAACCCCTGCACCGAGAGTTACGGTCAGTGTCATTCAGCATTACAATTCAAATACTTCTCTTGCCGAGCATGGGAAAGATGAAGGCAACAACACAGTACCACCACGGTTTTTGAAAGTTTGCACTAAGTTTTTGTGTGTTTTCAGACTTTTTTTGTCTACTTCAATTTTGTTGTATTTTGTCACCTGCGTTAGCTCACATTTTTGTTTTAAACTAATGCTGTTTGTGGAATGGGAAGAAAAATTAATTGTTGATCATTGTAATATTCACTCTGAAAACACGATGATGACAGGACAGAGTTAAATCATGTGTTTTATTTGTGCGATGCAGACTGTTAATGTCAAAAAAAAATTAACCTATAGGGTACAAAAAAATATTTTTGGAAGTGATGCTTTGAAAATCATTCAAGGTGAGCAGAAGTGACGAAATACTAATTTGGTTGTGATTTTATAAATAAATTAGCTCCTTAGGCTGTCAGAGCTAATGTCACAAGAGATGAAGATGGTTGTCTTCAGAAAAAAAAAAAAAAAAAAAAAAGAATGAGTAAGTAAGTATGAATCTGGAAAACATGCTCTCCCAAGAGAGCAAGGGAGCTGAACTTACTCAGTTGAAGAGGTGTTTAAGAAGTGGTTTGAATGCTGATTGTAAAAAGAGATTATGATATCTGAGACTTCAGATCTCTTTTGTTTAATAGATTTATAATAGTGTCTGCTAGGCAGAAGTTGAAACCAGAAATCGGATATATTTTTTTTAATAATAAGAGATATTAAATGCTGGAATAG